TTATTTAAATCATATAGTTCATTTAATAATGTAGTTCAATCAATAGCGCACTTCATTTAATTAAGTAGTTCATTGTTGCATATAGTTCATTCAGAAAAGCTACTTCATTAAGTTAGATGGTTCATTCAATAAAGTTGGTTCATTAATTAAACTTGTTCACTCATTAAACTAGTTCATTAATTAAACTAACTCTTTTAATATTTTTTTGCATGACATGTCAATTTGATTTAAGGCTTGAACGTGAACTATCTTTGTGTCCAGGTACATGGGCGATTTTTATAAGCTTGAGCCAAGGAAGAGACTTTTCGAATTCAGTAGAGATACAAGAAATTGAAGACCCTCATTATTCATATAATCAAGGCAATCAAGTCATTTCTTTATCAACTTTTTGAAGGCTTATCATATTCTACAAGGAGACATATAATAAAGACCATCTTTATTACATTCAAGAAGGATGAATGGCTTGTAGATGAGAATGGAATAGGAAGAGACACTCCCCTTTTGGACGACAATGTGTGTACATACATCAAGTGTCCATATTCATCCCCCTTTCTTTCATGAAAGAGCAAGCCAAAGAAGCCCAAGAGTCATCCATCTCTTTGGAGAAAATTGTGTCTCCATTCAACAACAAAAATGTCTAAATTCATCCCAGAATGTCTAGAATATTCGAACACTAAAGAAGATAAGAAGAAACAAATCATTCAAAAGCATTCAAAACTATTTTGATGCACATTCATCTCCTTTGTGTAACATATTCATATTTAGACTATAAACAGTATAAATAAGCACATTTTCTTCATTTTTAATCATAATTTTTTATATAGAAATCCTCTTTGAGAAGTTTTTTTTTCTTTGTAGTTTTTTTGAGAACTCTCTAGACTTCAAGTTCATTCTTGTGGTATTCATCCATTCCATTATCTATAACGCTGGTTCTTAGCTCCTTTATAGCTAAAGGGTCACATTTTATATCCTACCACTACACTTCCATCATATTATATTGTTGGTTCCTAGGTGATCAGAGTAAGTTAGATGTTTTGGTTGATACTAATGAACTGCACATTGCTCAAAGAAAGGGAATAAGAAGGTGTACAACTCATCCTATCAATAAATTTATTGATTATGGTAAACTAATGTCCGAGTTTAAGTAATTTACATCCAAACTTGGCAACATTCGCATTCTAGAGACCATAGAAGAAGCTCTAAAATTTCCCGAATGAAAGAAGACAGTAGAAGAATAGCTTTCATCTCTTGAAAACAACAAAACATGGACTATTTGTGATCTTCCTAAAGTCAAAAAACACATTTGGTTATAAATGGGTCTTTACAGTCAAATATAAGGCAGATGGAAACATTGAACGGTATAAAGCTAGACTTGTGGCAAAATGGTTTACTCAAACTTAGGGAGTAGGCTATCAAGAAACTTTTGCTCCAGTTCCAAAACTCAACACTGTAAGAATACTTATATCCTTAGCAATTAATAAGGATTGGCACTCTATCAACTTGATGTCAAAAATGCATTCCTTAATGAAAATCTTGAAAAGGAGGTTTATATGCAAATTCCACCGGGTGTGCAGATGAAATTAAAAGAAAATCAGCAGGTATGCAAGTTGTTAAAGTCGTTATATGGACTAAAACAATCCCCTCGTGTCTGGTTCAATAGATCCACTTTGGTACTCTTATAAGACAACTATAAGCAATGTCAATATGATCATACTCTATTTGTGAAAACCGGTTCAAATAGTAAAATGACAATGTTAACTGTCTACATTGATGATATCATCATCATTGGTGATGACTTTAGAGAAATAAAAGATTTTAAACCAAAGACTTAGGGACCTCGAGGTATTTTTGGGCATGGATATGGCAAGATCAAAAGAAGGAATTGTCATAATTTAGAGAAAGTATATTCTAGACTTACTCTCTGAAATTGGATTTACAGGTTGCAAGCCTTCGGAAACTCCTATGGAAGCAAATATGAAGTTAAAAGAAAATGAAAGTCCAGTAAACAAAGAACAATATCAAAGGTTAGTGGGCAAGCTCATTTACTTGTCACTTACTAGACCAGACATAGTCTTATCTGTGAGTATTGTGAGTCAGTACATGAATGACCCTAGTGAAGAACATTTGGAAGTAGTATATCATATTTTAAGGTATTTAAAGATGACACCGGGTCATGGGTTAATTTTCAGAAAACATGAAGATAGAACAATCAAGATCTTCTCAGATTAAAGTTGGGCCGGAGAGTTAACAAATAGGAGATCAACAACCGATTATTGTTCGTTTGTTTGGGGAAATTTGGTGACTTAGAGAAGCAAGAAACAAGATGTAGTTTCCATAAGTAGTGCAAAAGCAGAATATCAGGCAATGGCACTTGGAATTTGTGAAGGCATTTGGTTACAACGATTCTTAACTGAGTTAGGAGTTAGCGACAAAACCCACTTTGATAATCAAAGTAATAACAAGTTGGCTATAAGTATTGTTAAAAATCCGGTACAACATAACATTACTAAGCATGTGGAGATCGACAGACACTACATTGCAAAAAAGGTGAATGGTGGAACCGTAAGACTCAACTATGTCTCTTCAAAAGATCAACTAGCCGATATTTTGACCAAGATACTTCCAAGAATCAATTTCGACGAGATTAAATCCAAACTGAGTCATTACAACATTTATTCCCCAGCTTAAGGGGGAGTGAGAGTTATGGTTAGATGTAAATATTAGTTTTCTACTTTAACACTAACTCTAGAATCCTAATTTGTAGATAATACAATCCCTAGTCCATATTACACTCTTTACAAATACTAGTATAAAAACTCCCATATAAAACTCTGATTGTAACGTGAAACACAAAAAAAATTTGTTTTTGAGAAGTTCAAATCTACACTTAATTCATTCCGAATCAGTACATTGATTAATTGCCTTACTTTTTTAAATTAGAGAATTACCAATTGAGCTTGGTCCATGAATTTAAAGACTTTGCCTAGTTTTTCTGCATTAAACTTTCTTGGTACAAATGGTAATAGCCTGTCAGATTATTGTTGCTAGAGAATGTTAGTCTCATAATTTTATGGTGCGGAATGTACTTTATCTACTCCCCTATCTGTCAAGCGGCGCCGTGATCCCTGGTTCGGACATTAATGGTCTAAATACTATATCTATCATTTCTATCCCAGTTTGGTAATTGAACTGACAAGAACATTTATGAAAAACCAACTAATGATGGAAATGTGTGTTAATTTGCTCATTTGGACTTGTCTCTTGTTTGGATACTTTTTCCTTCTCCGCTCATCCGGGCCCATTTTCACTAATGACTAAGGCGTTGTTGTTGAATCATGAATACGCGGGTTTGATTTAATCCTTTCTGTCTTTTCAGCAAAACTCTCCTTCAGAAGCAGCAGTTTTTTCACTCACATAGAGCACAGGTTAATTTTTGCTTGTTATTTGGTTCTGAAAAATTGCTGTGATAACTATAATTTTTACCGTATGAGAGGAAGGGTGGGGATAAAGAGGAAAAGAAAATATTGCCTTCTGTTTCTTACACTTATCTCAGATGCACATTAACACTGTTAAAAGTTTGGATCTAATTTCTGGTTGTGGCCTAGCTAGTTGTCTGTGGAAGGCATACGAAATGGAGTGAGGACTGGTTCTGGTTTTCACTTTTTGTGTACTATACTTGATACATCTTTGCATTAGCTTTTATCAAGAGATATTAAGCTTAGTTTTAGTCAACTATGAAATTTGTGCTTCACTTAATAGTTTATACAGCGAATCTCTTAAACTATATCTCTCTTTTGTAGCCAATGGTGATAGATCAAGTAATGTCTGATAGAGACAGAGAGGATGAGGTTGATGACGATGTTGCAGATTTGGAAGATCGAAGGGTATATTTTTGTTGATATTTTTAGTTGTTTATTCTTTCATAATCATGCTATTTGGATGCTTGTTTGGAAGGGCTTATTGTTTTGGATTTTGGTTAGTGGCCAGCTAAGAATTTACAGGAAAATTGGAGTCACAGTAATCATTCTGAAAATAGTATATTCTTTCCAAGGAATGTATGAAGGGTAATTTATTTAAAGATACTTGTAGATTTTAATCTTATGAATGCTTTTGGGGATGTAAATTGTATTGATGTGACCCGTTTACCCGCAATGAGGGCAAGCTAGGAACTGAAATCATTGAGAACTGGTAATAATAAAGTATCAATCATTAATCAATGATGTTACCAACCATTACAAAATTAAAATTTTGATGCCCTTTCAGCAACACATGGTTTTAGCTGTTAGGGCTTCTGAACAAATTGGATATTTTTTTCTTCTTTTACTTGAAGTTTTTTCATTTACAGTGATTGCATTAAGATGCTCGAGCATGTTGCAGATGCTCGATGATTTCTTGGATGTAACCAAAGACGAGAAGCAAATAATGCATTTGTGGAACTCGTTTGTGAGGAAGCAAAGATAAGTTTGTCTTTCTCTATCTTTTTTTTTGTTTTGGTCATCTCTATTCGTTTTACCTTTCGGACTTGAAACTGGTTGACAGAATCATATAATCAATCGTTTTCTCTGCTTCCCCCTCTCCCCTCTTTTCTCTATTCCTTTTTCCTTTTCAACTTGAACCGGATAGATGGATTCATATAATCCATCACATTATACCTTCTCTAGAGAAAAAGGTGCTTAATGGAAGGTCAAAGGGTTTGCCGGTCTAATATAAGCCATGTTTCATACATTATTGTTTCTACATTCCTCTTAGTGGTTTGTGCTGCATTTAAACTGAATCTGCAAGAACCATGGTTTTCTTCCCTCCTCTCCTCTAACTATTAAACTATTGTTTTTAACACAGTTGTATGACTCCTGCAGAATTTATTTCCCTTATCATTTGTTTTTCTCTCTCTCTCTTTTTTTTTTTTTTGAAACAGTGTTGTGGACCTTGTGGTTGTTGATTTGCTAGTGCTGTATTTTGTATTTGTGATGGCAGGGCGTTGGCAGATGGTCATATTCCATGAGCGTGTGGAGCATTTTCAAAATTACATGGGCGTGACCTTGTCAAAGCACCAGCTCTCATCTGGTAGGTGGTTCCATGTTTGTTTTTGATTAATGTTATTGTGTACATTCTCTTGTACATCACTAGTAGGGTCATTCTCTTGTTTGTTTTGTATGCGATTGCTTGTCGGATTATAATATTATACGAATACTCTGACTGCAAGCATTTGTTGCATCGGCAGGTGTTGGAGATTATTCATGATCAAGCTGTGGAATCACGGCGTCCTCGATGCTCGAACGATGAATAATTGTAATATCGTTCTGGAACAATACCAAAATCAGGATTCAGATCCTATAAAAGGCTAAAGAGATGGTAAAAGCTTTGCTTCCTATTTGGCAGTTGGTAAACAAATCATGATCTCCCTAAGCAATTTGCTTGCCATTAACCCTACTGTTTTGTGTAGCTTTGTACAACAGATTGGTATGATTCCTACATATTATGCGTATTTTTAACGCATAACGGTAATAAAATTTTCTGCTTAGCTTTAACAAATCCTTTGGGTGTGAGTATTTGTGAGTAAAACCCTACTCTAAAAATCAAATTTTTTGACTCGACTCAATGCTAAAACTAGAAAAAAAAAATCAAATTTGAGTTGAGTAATAAAGTAGGATTCAAATAACCAAAAGTTTTAAATAATTAGGGGATGAATTTTTATGTTTGAGTCGAGTCCTTCAACTCTACGTGATATATAACATTGAAAATATATGAGGAAACATATATTTATGTAGCATATGTTTATATAAAGTTGTTTAAATTATAATCAATTAGTATCATAACATTATAAATATTATAACTAAATTTAAATAGAAATTTGAATAATTTAATTTGACTCGTTTTAAATTTTATAAATTTAATTTGACTTAAAAAATATTAATTAAAATTTAAGTTATAAAATAAGATTTGTAAACTTAATAACTCAGACTTTTATTGATCAAATATTCACTTCTGTATGTACTATTAAAATCAGTGCTCATCTTGGTGTTTAGTCAAACAATTAGAATTGTAAGTAAACGTAAGCCTAGAAGTTTATTTAATAGAATAACATAGATGAACAAGTTCGTTTATTTAATAAATCGTCTTCGCCAAAAAAAAAAAAACAAAATCAGATCAAACGCAGAAGAATAGAAGAAAATAAAGAACAAAGCAACACGTTATATGCGTTGTTCGTAAAAATACTTCCAATATAATCGTGTTTGATAAACTACACGGTTGTCTTCTATGTTTTTAGTTCGTCTGATTAGTTACCGATTATGAAAAAAATTAATTTTAATCTTTTATATTATTGGTTTGTTTAATTTTAATCTCTCAATTGTTAATTCTTGTTAACCCAGTAACGAAAACTTGAGTTGGGTATTTAATTTTTATTGATTGACAAGTTTAAAAACTAGAATTACTCGATTTAAATAGAATTAAATTTATTTATTTTTTTAAATTATAGTTTAATTTTTTATCGTTTATATTATGAAATAAATATTATATTTAAGTTAATATGAACAATTTTTTTGCTAACTAATAAAAACAATTTAAATTGCTATATAAAAATAACTTTTAAAAAAATAAGAAATAGCGATGCAAATCGATAAAATTTGCTTTAATTATTTTTTATTTGAATTTGTAAAAAAATAAACATTATGGCTTAATGATATTTATGGTTTTCATATTTTTTCAACAAAAAAAAATTAATCCAGAAAAATAAACATTATGGCTATTGCGGTGATCCAAGTTGAGGATCTCAGATATCTCTTTGAAGTAAACCAATGTGAACAAAAAACCATATTACTATATAATGATATTTTCTATTCTCCAACTCTTACTACAAGAAAATATACCTTTAATGACACACGAACGATGACACGCGCTAATTTATGACTTGCAAAACATGCGTGTCATAAAAAATGTCATATTTTTTAAAATCTGAACGATTTATGACTTACAATAATATGTGTCATATTTAATAGTCATAATCTAAAAAATTTGCAAAAACACGGAGTACACTTTTTAATTGTGTGTCATATGTAAAAGTCGTCTTTTAATTTCCCCCATTATTTTCATCCTTTTCTGCTTCTTCCCCTCAATAATCAGTTCACATCTAATGTTTTGCACTCCTTTCATTCTCTCCTTTTCTCTCCTACTTTTCATCCCGATTATGTTCTTCTTGTTAGGCCTCAGTGTATACTTATTTTGGTACCAAAAATCACTAATTTGGACAGGTCTAGCATATACCATTCCCCATCTTTGAGTTCCAGCGCCGACGTCTACTGGTGACAATAAAGCCCTTATTAAATCTCAGTGCAGTACCGTTAAAATTGAGCCAAGTGACGATCACCCTCGATAATGGCGCGTACAGAGGAAACAAAACTCGACCTCTTCCTTCAATGGCTTCAGGTTCACTTCTCCAAATCCCTAAACTTAATTTTCCTCCAACCCTTTACATTTAAATTCTCTCTCGTTCAACGAACAACAATTTTGATTCAGGTGAACGGAGCTCAATTCTGTGGCTGCAATATCAAGTATTGCAACTCCACCAAAGGCTTCGGTATTTATTCCTCCAATGATTCCCCCAAAGATGGTCAGCTGCAAAAACCCTTTTAAAGAAAAGTTGAAAAAAAGCTATTTTTATTTAATTGGTTATTATTGGGTTAATTGGTTTTACGTGGGGAAAACTGGGAAGGGGTTCTTCTTGTGGTTCTATTGGATTTAGCAATAACTCCGATGAGAGTATTGCAAGATCCTTTAATTGGAGCAGAGTGTAGAGCGATGTTTCAAGAAGGAGAAGTTGATGATAGGTTTTTAATGATTTTATTTCTTACTGTGAAACGTCTTTGAAAGAATTCTTCGTCGAAACCGTATGTACTTAACATATTTGATTGTTTTCTTTTAGTTTTCTTTTATTTATTATTTATGTGGATTTAAAGACTAGTTCAGGTATCTTGATATACTTCCCACCACTTTTGGGAATCCGTTATGGTTTACCGATGATGAGATGCTGGAATTGAGAGGAACAATCTGGTATAGAGCAACTGAATTGCGGGTAAATATAAGCATATAGTTTAACGTTTCTCTTGAAGATGAAATGCATGTAATTTGACTACCCATGATGATGAAAGTTAGTGTAATTGTTTTATAGAAAAATGATTTGATATCTGTGTACGAAGATAAAGTGAAGGGTTTGGTGAAGAAACTTCTTGCTCTTGATGGAGTTTCAGAAAGGTCGGTATTAATTACATCGAATAAAGTAGGAATCAAGTGTGTTTATTTTCCTTTTTCCCAATTATGAATTATTGTTAATGCTTCTTTTACAATGAGGTATGCTTTGAAGATTTCCTTTGGTAGGGATCTCCTCAAAATGAACTCTTTCTTATTCTCTCTCAAAATGGGGTGGGTGGGGACAATGAAGGAGATTGACTATGATATGATGACATTCCTTGCACTTCGAACTTTGGTGGTTAATACTGCGTGATTTCTGTAATGCTAGAGCGAATTATATATTTTGGTATCGTGCTCTGAACCTTCCTCTTCCACATTCTTATATATTTCCCCAAATTCAAGAAGATACCGAGACAACCTGTCCAGTTGAAAGAAGTTTTGAGGTGACCATCAGTCATAGTGGACTAAGTGGAGAGCCTGTTAATGAAATTGATGGAAAAAGTGAGGTTACACTTTAGTTCTTACCACTTTTGTGCCTGGATCTTTCCTCTTATTTGCTTTCATAGGTGAAAGTTTACTGTATTAACATGGAGCTGAGGTTAAAGATTTTTATTTATTTTAGGTTTATATCAGGATTTGAGGGTCATGAGAAAGATAACAAAGTCAATGGAGCAACTTCCACATCGAAACAAGAAGAAACTGTCTGGGTGGAGGGTCTTCTCCCTGGCATTGACTTTTACAACCATGGTATGTTAGTTTTTATTAGTCAGTGGCTCTCTAGTCAATTGGTTAGAGTCTATTCTCATTGAATTTTTTGGTTGTTAATTTTATTTTTAGACTTGAAGGCAGTGGCAACATGGGAAGTTCTTGTCCCAAAGGTAAGCATTAATGCATTATTATTTGTAATCAATAAGCTTAATTCTTATTATTGGAAACGTTCTTTAATAAAATATAAGTTCCACTGTCAATATGACTTTTGTTCCTAATATTTTCTGTCTTGTTAATTAGTTCCCTTTGTTTGGGGCTATGCTGCTATGCTTTTAACTAATCTATGAATTTCTTGTTTTTGCCTTTATGATATCCTTTGTGTATTCTATTTTTCATGCATATAGCATCGCAAGCCTATTTCAAAGTTAAATTACTATTAATAGTCTATTCCCGAGGACATTTAACTTATATGTGACTTTTGTGGTTACCAGCTGATCAATATGTAATTTAGTAATCTAATTTGCTAAATCAGTGCGATTAAGTAATTCATGTTTCCATACTTTATGCATTATTGTCCGTCTTTCCCACCTTAGAGGGATTGTAATTGGAGTTCTATGTGCCAAGGTGGGTATTTGAGTTGTACTATATTTCCCGTTTAGAAGTTGTTAATTAAGCATGCTGATAAATATAATTGAATTATTTTGATTCTTAGTTTTGACATAATTGGACTACTTAGTGTTGTACTATTCTTGTTCCTTATCACTTCATTTTCAATTTTGTTTTACAGATACACAATGAGCATATAACAGATTTATTGGATCCAAATCAAAGAAACCTGCAGGAAGAATGGATTATTATTTAACTTTTCAGTTTCCAAATCAATGTTGTTTTGTAACTTTTCTATATATTGGTAATTGCTGATGAAACTTAGATGGTGTTTTATTGGTTTTATGGCTTAATTGGGTAAATACAGAGAAACATTGTGGATTTTGTGCTATAATCCTTCTGATACACCAAAAAAAAAGTTGATTTTTGGCTTTTTGCTGGACTGTACATGGATGCTTAAGTTGTCTTGATCTAACCTAGATATCAAGATATGTGCGTTATTTGTTAGAGATGGGATTTATCTAAATTCTCTTAGAGCAGAAAGTTTAGTTGAATGCCCTCCTTTGTTTGATTGATTAAGGATGTTCAGAGTTCAGACCCACTATGTTACTCCTTATAATCATTGGAATCTATAACTAATTTTGGTAAATGGATATCAATCAGATTTTCCTCTGAGCGAAATAGAATTCAATAGCACGTTTATTGCAAGTTTGAATGAAAATCATCATTATAACCGAGTAGGATGGGTGAATTACCCATATGTAAATAGACGTATCCCCTTAAATAACGGTGTAACTTTGAGAAATAAAAA